CACTCGCTAAAAACACAAAGGCTCATGGGTAGATGCTTGTTTGTAAACAATGACACGCTATGGCCGTATGCCGCATGCGCAGATGACGACTCCCCCGTTCTAACTGTTTGCTTGCCTATTTCAGGTTCCCAGTTCATATTAGCATATGCCACAGTATATGGCTCACTAATTGGATGGGATCTCAGGGCTCCTGGGAATGCCTGGAAACTGAAGAATGAACAAAAACATGGTAGGTTTTGTCTCATTACTACGGCAAGCTAACAGATCATAGACCCAATGTTGTTGAAACAGTATTTAACTCCACTGTCTGATGGTCGGCCATCTTTTGTCAATAAAAGACACTTAATAATTCTTATTTTCGGACTTATGGATCAATCTCTGTGCGTCCGTGAATTCTTCCTCACCTGTATCTTTGACATGCCTGGTCCAATCATATTTATACATCATATATGGCTGAATGGCAGCCTTTTTTGTGTTTAAAATTCATCCAAAACAAGCATTTCTACTATTCTAGAACCGGATTTATTTGTGTATGAACAGATTTCGTTCAAACATAGTAAATAAATTGGACAATATGAAACCTTGATGCAATATTGACATAAGTTCTACCATTATCACAGATAAAAACAATATCATTTTTTATTTTTTAAGGGTTTAATATGCCAGTTTTGTATAAAATAAAGGGGAATATGAAAATATGGTTTGATCAATGGAAACTAGCTATGCAGAATCACTTGGTCAATTTACCTGAAATTTATGCTATACCGATACATTCTTGGTGCGACTAAACATTGATTCTTTGACAGTTTTATGATTCTTCTGACAATCTTGAATTTGAGAAAATCCAAAAAAAAAAGTTTTATGTTAGAATACTTTATTTTCACTTGGAATTAATTTTCACTGAAGGAATGATTCAGTGAAAATATAATCTAACGAATATACCTTTTTCCCTATATTTTACATTCAACTCGTCAAGAACTTGTGAAAATAAAATCCATACAAACACCCAAAATGTTTATTCAGCGAAAATTAATTGCAGCTAAAATAAAGTTTTTCACAGTATTTCTCACGTCATTAGCACATGCACCACAACTGTGACAAATAAAAACTACACATGTCACAGGACTTTTTGCGCTATAATTAATTAATAAAAAATGTTAAACATCTTATAATTGAATATCTCCTAGAATCGCATTTGATTAAATTAATCCTGCATCATCAGTATTGAGTATGTTTACTTCTTAGCATCCTTTCCATATTTATTTAGTGAGCAAATAATTTTCTTATTCAGATACACTTGTTCCATTGCATTAAAAATTGAGACATAGACTGTAATGAGTCACATGGTTTAGTTACCCTGATTTGCATACAAGCTGAAAGAGCCTTATTTTAAAGATGTGACTTATATTGTGCACCATCGTTCTTGAATGCACATGTATGCATTGAAAAATAAAAAAATTAAACACTAATCACATTCATGGTTTTTTTAACATCTTTAATTTTACAAAAAAATAATAAACAGATATCTTGAGACATGGATCTCTGTGATGCTGTTCACAGCTTTAATATCTGTCTGTTATATTTTATGATATTAAAAACTATTTTGGATAAATCTGTTTTCAGGTTTGATTACTTCATTCTCAGTGGATCACAAACGATGTTGGTTATCTGTGGGTACAAGTAGTGGTATTCATGTATGTTGGGACATGAGATTTCAATTACCAATCACAACACTTACACACCCTACAGGTAAGTAGTGGTATTCACGAGCTATAGAGCTCTGAAATTTGCATAAAATAATAAGATATTATGGATTCTATAATGCATAAAAAGTTCATTATGATTTTATAACATATGCCGAAATAGCTCTACACTACTACATCCATAAATACCAAGTGACAGAAATCAGAAACACAAAATTGTTTAATAACACATTCTGAAACAGTATTAATCTGGGAATGTGCTACTGTGCAAGGTAAACATCAGCATTGTTTTTTGCTCCTTTAAAAAATAAAGGCACAACTGTTATTACCCAGCAGGCCACTTGTAGCTTGTATTATTGTTTGTCAGCCACCATGCAGTGTACAAGAGTTTTTGTTATATTATTTGTATCAATCTAGGTTCAAGGGTCATGTAACGATAAACTCTCCATTCTTGTTTGTTAGGCACCAGAGTACGACAATTGTTGATGCATCCTCTCCATCAGTCATGGGTTATATCAGCAGTAGAAGGTAACAATGAAGTATCCATGTGGGATATGGAGACGGGTGCAAGACAGATGACATTATGGGCTAGTACTACGCCAGCACTCTCACAAACACAGGTGTGTTACATCTGTCCTTATTGTCGTTGTTATCGTTGTTCAAAAAGTCTGATCTAATAACATTTTGTGTAACAGTATTTGTGTGAGTTTAGAAATGTTTGAAATATTACAAGCTGAATCCTGTAGGTGTGATATGCTATTCTATTTGATATTTAATTGATTATTGGTTTATTCAAAGGCCTCCAGCCATTCTGTGCATACAATGTATTGTAGTCTAGCTGATGGTAACCCATTTCTGGTGACAGCTGGATCAGATATGAGAATGAGATTCTGGGACTTGGCATACCCACAAAGTTCTTACATCATCGCTGGGGCTGCCAACGATCATTTACATCAAACAGCTGTTTCATACAAGTAAGATTGTACATTATGTTCTTTATACCTTTTTTTTAAAGTATCACATTTACACAGACCAAATGATGATAGTGATCTTCTTCACAGTGGTTGCTGGCTGTGAATAGCGATAATTATGCGACACCTGTGCAATAAACATGTGGCCCTCGTACAATGAATGAGTGGGAAAATATTGTCAGTTGACGAGATTGTCATAACTCTACTAACTAATGATAAAATACATGTATTTGTTGTGCAGTGATGTGTATGCTCATGATATGATTTTTGTTTTTTTGCCGCAAACCAACCGATCTGACACATACTACACATGGAACTATGGGAAAAGTGGTCAGAACTATTCCCACATTGTGGCGCTATTCGGTTGGTTTGTGGCGATTCGCGTGTCAACGCAATATTGAGAAAAATTAGACCTTTGACCTCCCAATTTACGTGCATTTTAATAATAATAAAATAACTTGAAGACATTCTGATAAGTGTTGTGTGTTGTTTTAATTGATCAACTCATTAAAGATTAAATCTTGCTAAAAATCAGGAGAGAATATGTTCAAAACAAGAAAAATACTTTTATATAGTTCCGCGGATGAAACACTGAGTAAAATGGTGGCGGATGGATATTTAGCCTTCAGAAGCTAGTTATGCGTCATAAGACACAGGTCTGTGCTGAATAGCGCCACCTGTGTTGACACAATGGGTAGCCACTCATCTACTGTATAAACTGATTCTAAATATATTTTCAACTTGCCAGACACAAACTAGTTGATGGTACTGAAGTTATACAAGAAACATACAGCAAACAGAGAGGGACCAGTGATGATACACCCAGACGAGCACCGGATCCTGTACCTTCTGGACACAGAGATACCATATCTGATATGACTGTATTCCAGACATCCCAGGCTTTTATCGCTACCTGTTCTCGTGATGGAGTTGTCAAAGTTTGGAAATAAGAACACAGTACCATGTCATGATCACTGCACCAATAATGTGAAGCAAGATTGTGAAAGTCAAACCAATCAGAAAGCAGCTTTTCTGTTGACAGTTTTTCAATGCATTAATTCCTGCTAGTTATATTTGCTTTGACTTAGCTGGTAATGTGCAGAAATCATCACAACCAATAAAAATGTATGTATAAGCCCAAAAATGCATCTATAGTAAACGAACATCATTAACATTCAACTTATTTTGACCAAAAAGCAAATACGATATTGGTTTAAAGGCAATATGATGTACATATCTTGAAAATAATGTTGAAACAAATTAATTTTTCTGTGTGCTGTTTCCATATGCATAGCATAAACATCCTTAATAAAATATCTTGTGCAAATTTGGTTTGTACTACAAAATTTGTTTTGGCTCAGTATTGGATGGTTTAAAAAAATGACAAAAATCACAGCTTGGGGCCCTTTAATAATAGAAATAACCCAATTTTCTATAAGTCTAATCAGTGCTACTGTATTTGACATAAACACTCACTATTGTATAAATTTAATAAACCAGTGAAATGTTTTGTCAGAGTTCAGTAATTTATACTATTCTTCATTTAAATTTAGAATTGTTACAATTTCACATCAGTATGGAAAACACGTGCATTAGAAGCATATTAAAAACAATGTGTTTGTCTGTGTAAATAGTGTTCACTATAATTGTAATGGCACAGTCTTTTTCATGTCATGGATTGTATGTATTTATTTGACAGATCCCAATTAAAGGTGGCATACTTGTATTATGTTGAAAATAATGTGTATGAATCAATATTCAAAATAAACAGAAATGAGACCTTTCATAAATATTCAATAACCCCCCCCCTCCCCCACAATATTTTTCCATTTTATTTTCAATATCTGGAAAAAAATTCACACACACTATGAACAAGACATTACAAAGCCAACAAATATGTATACAATTCAAAATTACAATTAAAAATATTAAATTTAAAACTACCAGATGGGAATGGTAAACTGACATCCATTTTATATAATGAATGTATTGTTATTTACAGTCTGATTCTCCTTAGCAAATGAAGAAAACATGCTGCATATTCAACTTTACTACAAAATTGAACTTTGCTTTTACAATAAGATTCTGGCTTGTCATGCAGCCATTATGTCATTGTTAGCGTTTCAACACACAAATTTACTTAGTATAAATCAATCTTTTTTCCAACAACATTGGTGAAGTCTAAAAGTAGTTTGAAAAGTCTATAAAGTTGTTGCAAAGTTGAGACAGTAGCTTTTGTAGAAAGAAAAGTTTTTGAAAAAGTAATCAATAAAGTCAGAAAAGTTATTTTGGGTGGCAAAGTAAATTGTGTCAAAGTTAAAGATGATTTGGATGTTTGCAATTGCCAGGAGAAACCCATATATATCACACTTGGTTTGATATTTAATGGTTGTTCTTCTAGAGGGGCAATAACACTATCTAACTTTTACTAAATTTAGAGTTCAATTCAGAGCAAATTGTCTAGAATTTTATGCATGGAGAGACAAGAAATCCGAAACAGTTGTGTAAAAACTTCAACAATTGCACAAAAGTTGAAACAAGAAAATGAGACAATTTGATTGGAACGTTACAAAAGTTAGCAGGACAGTTGATAAAGTTGTATGAACATCGAAAAAAAACAATCTGTTGAAAAGTAGCTGAAGTTAGTTGAAATGTTGAGTGACAAATCGAAAAAATACCAACTTAGAGAAAAGACTTTGGTTGCAAAGTTGTAGAAGTTAGCTAGACTAGAAAAAGCTGCATGGAAAGTCGTTACTATTTATTTTAATTTCATATAGTTATTTTGCTGGAAAGTCAGTGATTTTTAGTGGAAACAATTGCAAAATCTAGCTGGAAAGTTGATAAAGAAAGAGAAAAAGTGTTTGGAAAATTGCTTATACATGTAGTTTGAAAGGCGAAAATTTTAAGTAGAAAAAAAAAATGTTTGCAAATTTGTTGAAAAGTTGAGTGGACAGATGAAAAAGTGCAGAACTTACTTAGAATGTCGAAATTAGTGAGAAAACGAACAATCAATTGCAAGGTTGCAAAAGTTAGCTAGAAGTTGATAAGGCTGTGTAAAACGTAAACACACATTTGCAGAATTTTTATAGAAAGTTGATAAGGTTTTATGAAAAGTCAAAAAACAATGAGTAGAAAGATGAACAATTAGTTTCAAAGTTAATATAATTGCATGAAAGTAGTTGCAAATATTTCAGAACTTAGGAAATCAAAAATGTTGAATGGAGTAACAAAAAATAGGTTAGCTGTAAGTTGGGTAAAATGTTGAAAAAGTGTTTGAAAAGTTGCAGAACTTTGAGTGAAAAGATGAACAATCGGTTGCCAAGTATCAGAAGTTGAGAAAATTTAGTGAAAATTCGAAAGAATCATTTTTAAAATTACCAAACATAGTTGGAAAGTCAAAAACATTGGAAAGATGAATAATTGGTTGCAAAGTTGCAGATGTTAGCTCGAGTAGAAAAAGATGCATGGAAAGTTATTAAGGTGGTTGCGAAGTTACTAGACTTTGATAGAAGTAATTTGGAGTGGAAAGACAAACAATTATGAAAGTCACAGAAGTTAACTGATAAGTTAATTGTGTAAAAAGTCAAAACTGTGGTTGCAAAGTTTCAGAACTTAGTCGGAAAGTCTAAAATGATGAATTGGAATAACAATAAGTTGCAGGAAAGTTGATACAATTGTGTGAAAAGTCAAATCAAAGAAAGCTTAGAAAGAACTCCCATGTGCTGAGAGTATTGGAGACACATTAAATATAATTTGAAATTACTTAGCTGAAAACTAATTATGCAAATCAGAAAATTAACATGAACAGATTTGATTGTAAAACTAATGAGGTCTGCGCAATGTAACAAAAACTCTATGTACCAAGTTTAATTGAAAAGTGATTAGAACCAAAAAATTATGAATTTTTATGCTTATTAGGGAAATACTATGAACAGAGTTTTACCCCAAACTAATTAGGATTGTACATTGTCTTAGAGCATCTTTGTACTAAGTTTCATTAAAATGGAAATTAGTACTTTAGATATCAGTGTGAAAGCTTAAAATTGGTTAATTATGCAAATTGGGTAATTAATATGTACAGATTTTAACCCACAATTATCCAGGTC